TCAGGACCTCCGTCGGCAAAAGCTCCATCAACATAATTCGTCAAGGATTATAAAACACTAACAATCGATTAAGCCTTTCAAGTCCCAAATTGTCGGAGGTTCCCCGTCCCCGGACTTCACCCCAAAACCCTGTAAGGATACTGGCGGTATGAGAAAAAAGTAGGCCTAATGATGTAAACACTGCTCAGATAGGAACAATGATGTTGTAATTGTATATCAAGCATTGTTTCTATTCCGATGCAGGCCTAGAAAAAATGCTTCCGGTGGGATTCGAACTTGCAACCTCTCGCTATAAAGGCAAGCACCATGCCGCTAGACCATGGGATAATTACAGAAGCGTAACCAGATTAGGTTTATCACTACCGCGGAGGAAAATTCTACCTGAGAGTGGAGTATGCCTTTTCCAGAATAAACTAAACATTGAAGTAAAAGTAGGCCTATGTGTCATTATTATTTCAAAAAAACGATGTAAATGAAATGAAATAACGGATGTTTAAACTCAACAACATGACGAAACTATTTCCCCTTAGGCTATAAACACAATCTGTAGGTAAACATACTCATATGGTACAAGGATTGAAAGAACGAACATTAACCGTTAGGTATCCGTGAATTCGACTGATTGTGTTTTGGAACTTTTCTATCCCGATTATTTGAGTTTTTAAAGAGAAATTATAGTTGTTTTGTGGGGAAACGAACATAGAGACTAGAGAACAAAAAATAAAAATTCTCTACATGGAGTGATGACGCGGCGAAATGATGTCTGAGAATTTTCTCCCTCCCACGACGTCACAGTGCGGATTGATACATCTGACCAATAAGAATACTACATACTGGTGCTGAAATTACAGAACTTAATAGCTTGGATATCAGATTTATGCGTTCTACGTCATCATTCGTCGAAATAAAACCATCGGCAATCTCTGATTTCACACCTTCGTAGATTAAATTAACTATTTCCGAGGAAATGCACATACTAACATAATTCCTGCCAGCAGACGAGATTTTGGAACAGTGAAGGTATTGGCTAAGAAACCGAGGTGGAGAAGTATCCAAAGTAACGCTTTTTAAAAGGAAAGTTTACATTGATTTTTTTTCAAAAAGAGAAAATTTTAACCTTTCATGTTAATTCAATCATGCATCTTCGGGATTGGATATTGGTTGTGTGTGCTGTAGCAGCGTGTGTCTTGTTTAATTGTGAGGGTAAGAGTCATCGACTTAGCGTTCGACACCATCGAAATGATACCGAGGCAAGTCTAGGCTAGGCCTTGATTAATTTATTTTATAATTAATGCATTTATTAAAAGAATTATTAATTATTACGCTTGTTATCATTGTCGATATTATTGATTATTGCGTCATGCATGCTCTTTTTCTTTAACTCTACTCACGAAATTTCTATGTCACAACAGAAAGTAAGTGCGAGTAGGAATACAAAGGCAGGGAAAAAAGCCAAGAATTGTGAATATCAGTGCACTGATGGGACTTGCATTCAGGCTAAGTTCGTCTGCGACGGCTGGAAGGATTGTGATAGCGATGAATCAGCTTGTACAGGTGGGGCAACTATATAATAATAATATTA